TGTTTAAGCCGTTTAAATAGTGTTTTCTCTTCTTTATCGTTTAAAACATTCTAACAGATAAACCACTGTATTCTCGATTCCTGGCAAAGCACTTGATATAGTAGGTGTTCAGAAAACATTTTATGGGAGATTGGGATTGACATGTATACACTGATGTGTGTAAAATGGTTGACTAATAAGAGACATAAATAAATAAATAAACAAAAAACTTTTTTAAAATTTATTTTTAATATTTATTTATTTGTCTGTGCTGGGTCTTAGTTGAGGCACACAGGATCTTCGTTGCCACGAGCAGGATCTTTAGTTGCAGCATGAGAGATCTCTTAGTTGCACCATGTAGGATCTAGTTCCCTGACCAGGGATCAAACCCAGGTACCCTGGACTGGGAGGGCAGAGTCTTAGCCACTGGACCACCAGGGAAGTCCCCCAGAAAATATTTATTGAATAAATTTTGTTAAGACACTGGTTGGATATCTCAAAGCCTTCAAAATTATTTCAAAATTCTGTATAAGCAAGATTTACGTTTGCTTTGCTAACAGATCACAAGCCCCTGTTGGATGCGTTCATTCAGCGGGAAGCTAAGAACATTCTTAATGCTTTCCTTTTTCTGAGGGAGGAGCCTGTGAAATCATTTATTATTCTCATTATTCCTTGGCACTCGGCAATAACGTCCTCCTCCCCACTTTTAGAGCTCAGCGTTTCATCATTCTTTAACTTCTTCTACTACATGAAGCTTCTCTCTCAAGCTCCTCAAAGGGTGGGACCAGGTCTCAGTTTTCCCTCATTCTTTCATGTTCTAGGCACATGACAGGTGCTCTGTAGACCCTTGTTAATTGAGCAAATGAACAAAAATTAAGCAAATACAACCCTACTTGAAAAAAATAGAATTTTATGGAGTTTGGCAGTATCACCTTATTTGCATAAAGTGAGGTACCTTTATAATAGCCGGGAATACTTTGTGTCCTCAAGAGTACCAGACAGGAAATGCTCAGGAAGTGGGCAGGGAGACCTTGTTTATTACATATAAACTGGGCCTGGATTTCACAGGGAGGATGCAGAAAACTCAGCATGGGTCTCCTTATTCAGCAATGCTAGTAGAAAACCTCAGTGCTAAAGGCCTTCCTTCTCCAGGAAGACATCATAAGTTAGTCCTGTCTAGTCTACCATTGTGTTCGTTTTCTATTGCTGCATAACAAATCACCACAAACTTAGTGGCTTCAAATAATACACGTTTACTCTTGACAGGTTTTGTGGGGCAGGAGTCCAGGCATGGCCCAGCTGGGTCCTCTGCTCAGGGTCTCAGGAGGCTGAGATCAAGGTGTTGGCTAGGCTGTATCTCACCTGCAAGCCTGACTGGGGAAGAACCTTCTCCTAAGCTCCCTCATGTTGTTGGCAGAATGCGTTGCCTTGTAGCTATCGAGTTTATGAAGCTTACTTCTTCAAGACCAGCAATGGAGAGAGGGTCTCTACTTCACTGAGTCTCTAGACCCTTTTTTAAAGGGCCTGCTTGATTAGGTGAGGCCCACCCAAAATAATCTCTCTTTTGATTAAAATCAGCTGTTTAGGGATCTCGATTACTTCTGCAAAGTCCTTTCACTCTTGCCATAGTCTGTGGGTGAGAAGCAAGTCACAGTTCCTGCCCACACAAGGGGAGGGGATTACACAAGGGCATCTTAGGACCGAGGGTCGTCTTAGGATTCTGCCTACCACAACTACAGGGTTACAGTCTTCTCCTTCCCTTACCCACCAGTGAGGTTATTTACTCCTGCCCTGTGCCCTCAGAGCAGCCTCTCTCCACCTCTCCAACCACGTGTTCAACTGCACATGATTGTAATTACTCGTTTAAGTGACTGTTTCCCAACTAGACTGTAAGCTCCAGGAGTACAGGACCTACATCTGATTTTTCCAGTCTTATCTTTTGTGCCTATCACATGGTAGACTCTCAAAATACGTGCTAAATATCAATGGTGTGGAAGGTGCTTTTAAAGTCACTGTAACGATTTAGTTTGGTTGGTTACATGAATCCTTATACACAATATATCTAGCACCTACATTGCTGGGCACTCAGTAAAAGTTTGATGAATGAATGAATGAAGGAACACATAATGACTGAAGCTCTGAACCCTGAGTAGGACAAGTAAAGACATTGGCTCCTCACTATAAAATGGCTCTTTGACTTTTTCTGCACATATGAATCCTGCCCTTCTTTAAAAGCCAAGCTTAGACTCTTCTACATGAAGCCTTTCCTCACCTAATTTAGTCTCAACAATTTTCATTTTTCTGAATTCCTATAGCGTTTATAATCAAACATCAAAACACAAGCACTTTATGTTACATTATCTGTTTTCTACCTCATCTTTTCAGCTAGCTGTAAGCTCTTTTTTTTTTTTTTTTTTTTTTTGCGGTATGTGGGTCTCTCACTGTTGTGGCCTCTCCCGTTGCGGAGCACAGGCTCCGGAGGCGCACATGGCTCACGGGCCCACCGGCTCCGCGGCATGTGGGATCTTCCCGGACCGGGGCGTGAACCCGTGTCCCCTCCATCGGCAGGCGGACTCTCAACCACTGCGCCACCAGGGAAGCCCTGTAAGCTCTTTGAAAGCATGGAGTATGCTTTCCATTTCTTTACGTTTTCCATAGAACCGAGCATCTAACATCTTACATCAAAAACTTAATCAATATGCACGGATCTAAAATTTAAAAAGAAATTATGGCTAATCTGATTTAATTCTTGTCCTACACATCTTGTAACTTTCTCTTTTTGGATGCAATTGGCCTTTTCAGTCCTGTGTCTTCTCTCCACAGTATCCATCACTAAATGTGATCTAGCCACAGAGCCAGGAATGTGGTTTGCATCTTTCCTGGACGTGCTTAAATACTCCATGGGTCTTTCTCTCCAGGAAGGTCAGGTCTCTGGATAATTCATTTATGTGTTTCTTCAGCATATTCCCTGCAGGTAAGCATATTCCTAAGTCAGTAAGTGTTTAAGGGGAAATGCTGTTCTAAGCAAGACAGTGACTGGTGTAGAAGGTTTAGAAACTGACCACCTCATAATACAAAAAAAGGGGAGGGGTACGGGAGAGTTAGAAATGTACCTCCCATTTAGCAAAATATAATTCTTAAAGATTCTCTTTTGCTTCCCCTGTAAGTGTCTCTAATAACTAAAACGGTGTCCAGACATATGATAAATATTTGCTGAATGAATGAATGGGGAGTAAATCCCTATTAGGCTGTGCTCTTCCTCCTCCTTCTTTAGGGACACAGAGACAGTGAAACTCAGTGACCTTCCAGCCTCTGATTCCAGCTTTTCCTGAGGCCCATCTGAATTCCCACCCTTATCCTCTGAGGGACATTTGTAGGCCCTTATACTAAATTTCAGGGTTTGCTTCAGTTTGCGCTACTTAGTTTTGTTGCATATCAAACATTTTTTAAAAATGAAAACTAAAAAGAGCCTTGGCCAATAAAAAATGAAAACTAGATGTGTGCCCCAGCCCAGGACTCTAAAACAACAGATTGCTAAAGAGAGATGGGAGATTCTCAGAGGTGAACACGGCCACCTGGGACACAGGGATCCTAGAGATAAAGGAAATGGAGAGGCAGCGGGACCCCCCCAGGGAATTCTCTCAGGGGGCCAGACACGCACAAATGATAGAAGACGTGGCTCCTGACCAAGAAGGAATCCACAGGCTGGGCAGAGATCAAAGGCAGAGTACAGGGAAAGCTGAAGCCCAGAGTGAGCTGAGGCCGCACAAAACACCAAGGACAACACAAAGAGCTCTCAGTGTCAGAGGAAGAGCAGGGAGGGTCGCTGTTCGGTGCAGACGGCGTCACATCAACAGATGTCCAAAAGCAGAACTCCTCAGCTTCTGCTTTGTTCCCGCGTTACACAGGGAATGAAGACCCAGACTGAGGATGGTGAGGAAGCTGATAGCTGCTCTAAAGAAATTCCAGTTATTTAATCCAGATTCATTAAGTCCCAGGAGCTGAAAGATTTTGTGAGTATGATCCCTAAAACCTTGTCAATAACTGAAGATAAAGTTTAGCAAAAAAATAACATGGAGATAAAGAGGAAGAGGAATCAAAGATAAAGAAGCCCTTGGTGGGGCTTCCCTGGTGGCGCAGTGGTTGAGAGTCCGCCTGCCGATGCAGGGGACACGGGTTCGTGCCCTAGTCCGGGAAGATCCCACATACCGCGGAGCAGCTGGGCCCGTGAGCCATGGCCGCTGGGCCTGCGCATCTGGAGCCTGTGCTCCGCAATGGGAGAGGCCACAACAGTGAGAGGCCCGCGTACCGCTTAAAAAAAAAAAAAGAAGCCCCTGGTGTTTCCAGCCAGAGTGGCTGGGAGGCCGGTGGCACCAGTGGCTGCTGCAGGAAATGGAGGAGATGGAGAGGTCATCCATCCGCTCCCATAGCTTTGTACAAATAAGTCTCAAAGGATGCTTCTGGCCATGTTGTCTCTGCAGGGCATAAATCTGAGATCCCCACCAACATCTCAGCAGCTGGGCAAGAGGAGGCTGGGAGTGGGAGAGGCGGGGTCTCCCATCAGCACACGGGCCACCAGGGGATTCTGCAACATGGCCTTGACTTTCTAGCTGCTTAAAAGCCTAAATATACTGGAAATGTTTCCTCTGTGACCTCAAACAAATTTCTATAAAGGTAAATGAATATCAAAACAAATACAAAAATAGCCAGAAATTTAACAAATGTCTGAGAAATCTGGAATTTGGACTCCCTGGCAGAGTCCTGTGCTCTTCCTCGCGGTGCTTGTGCCCCCCAGGGACCTGGCCCTGTGGGCCTCAGCCTCGAGCACATTTTAGCTGAAGGAAACCGGGCCTGCAACTCCGTCCATTCCCTTAGCCATTGCCCTGGGCCCAGGTGCCTTCTCTGATCCCACAGGGACCCCTTGAATGGTCTAGAATTCTTCTCTGGCTCCGGCTGGGGCACCTTGACAGAGAGGTGGGTAGGAAGCAGATTGTCCCTGCTGGCGGGACTGGAGATTTGGTGACTCCTAGCTTTCCTGAGGTGATTTGTGAAACTACAAATAAAGGACTGCTGAGGTCATTTGCTAAAGTCAAATGGAGACAGACTCTTTTTTTTTTTTTGATACCTTGTTTTTATTTCCTTTTGCTATATACCAGGACGTGGTATTGCTGCAGCATATGGTCCTATATTTAATATTTTGAGCAACCTCTACAGTTTTTCCATAGTGGCTAAACTATTTATATCCCCACCAACAGTGCACAAGGGTTCCCTTTTTTTCCATCCTCTCACCAATGCTTATCTCTTGAGACAGACTCTTAAACAACTAGATTTTCTCTGCCTGGGGAAAGAAGCAGGTGAATCCTTGCTCCCCAGGGCTTTCATTTTAACTCTGGAGAAATCTGTGTCATCTGCTGAAGCTCCCACTGAGCTGTTTTCAGGCCCCAAGCAGGGACTCTTCGGATAACCTCTCACTCTGGATTCTGCTCCTTGGATCTCCATAGCAACCTGGGTACCAGCTGGAAGACCTGAAATCCAGCAGGGCCCTGCTTACCAGGTCTGAGGAAAAGCACTGAACAGGTGACAAACAGGAAGTCTCCTTTTGCAGAGGGCTTTTTTTTTTTCTTTCAAGATGAGTTCTGAGGGATAAAAAAATGTGTTTAGTTGACCATGAAGTTAGCTTTAAAAATCAGATTCTTTTGCTCAATTCCAGGACAATGATTAACAAATTGGCTCTTGGTTATGTTTTTAAGTCAAATGTTCACGTTTTAAATTTAGCAATTCAAGGACCAGCAATTCACTTTCATTTTGTTCAGGCAAACTGTCACACCCCTGAATTAGCTGTTTTCTAAACTACATTGTGATCGTTTTCTTATCAATCTTCATACTTGTTCTTTTAACTGTGAAAAAGAAATGGAGAATTGAAATCCAAGGTTGATACCAAGCTTACCAATCTGCATACGCTAGTGCCCTCTTAAACAAAGGCTGACTCAAGGTCCTTGTCCTAAAAAACCCTACATGTGATTGGGGCTGATAAGACGAGCCAGAGTAAAACAACAGGGACAATACCAGTTCAGCTGAAAATATGCTCTACGGTGTGTGGGCTGGAAGCCATTCCCAGAAGATGGAAATGGCTTATGCTTAAGTTCTTAGGACTTTGAACAAATGTATTCAAATTAATTCTTCTTTCCTCCAGAATTCAAGTGTTTCAGTAGATTGGTTGTTCTGACGTGCCATCTCCCATGAACAAAAGGGATTCCTGTTTCTCTTTTGGCTGTCTTTCAGCCACCTGGCTTTCAATAAGATACTCTGTGCTTTTTATAACGTGTGAAACTACAACACCTGTCTAGACCTCAAATGATTCCTCTGGGCCCAGTTTGCAAAATCTCGGGCCAGTGTTTGATTGGTTATCATTATTGCTCTTGCTTCAGAAACTATTTCCCAATCATTTAAGCACCCAAGGTGGGGTTTCTGCACTTCAGCTGCACTCTATGCTTCTGTTCACCAAGAACCCATTTGGGGAGATAAAACCATAGAATCTTAGGTTCTTTTGCTCCCTGTGAACTTGAAAAAGGCTCACCTGTTACCTTTAGCCAATTGGTCCTTCAGTTCAACTCTTAGGACTGGAACCCCCATGTCAAGGGTGAATCAGGGGGATGTTTCCACTTCTATTGGAGGCCGGTGTTAGGCTGGGATGTGGGGAGAGGAGGGGGAGGGGGGTCCACATGTCCAGGTGATGGATCCAGGCTGCAGAAACCCTTATTCATAGTATCTCTTTTTGCTTGACCCATAGCTGGCCATCAGGCAGTTCTCAATAACCCGAACCCTTTCTCCCTCACCCAGTTCCTGGGTGTCTCTTGAGTCATATTCAGGAATGAGGAAGTAAAAGGGGCTGTGAAATGAGGCTCATTGTCATGTGGTTCTCTTTTCCTAATTTGGTCTGGCAGGCCTGGGCACAGGGGCCTGGGAAACATATATTTCTTGGCAAGGGTAGAAGGGAAATCTAGTGCCTTCTATTTTCCCATTCGGTGTCTGAACTGACATTCTGGATGAAAATCTCCAGAGGACAAGAGCTGAGCTGTGACTACCCTTTCTTTTTTCCTTTTTTTCCTTTTCTCTTCTTATCTGTCCTAGTTAGGGCACATATGTGATTTCTAGGCTTGGAAAATGCATCTTTGCGATAAGGGTGATGCAGAAGACAAGCAAAAACATTCACTCCAAAAAACTGTACTTTTGTGGCAAATATTCATTTTCCCACCAATAGGGATATGCCAAAAAAGTCTGTATTTTTCCAAACTTTCTATTTTTAGCTCTCTTTTTCTTCTGGTGGCAGAAAACATAATCTCATTCAGTTCCAGGCATACTCAAACACTTCAAGTTTAAACCTACTCAAATTTCCCTACTCTGAAATTTCCAAACTTTTCAAGGCATCTGTCATTCCCTCCTTTTTGAAACTAGCTACTTCTGGGTTACTTGGCCTTCAGAGTCTCTCTTATCGGTACCCATCCAACTGGTCTCTCTCCCTTTTTTATCTTTTCAGGGGTGGGGAGAGTGGTAGCAGGGGAGAGGGTTTGGAAGGGGGAGGACGGTGGAGAGCAGAGGAGACCACCGCTGCAAACATTCTCCATCCCTCCACCCTATCTTTCAGTGTTACTTAGGACCATTGCTTTTGAATTTAAAAGCCAAAAATTTGTTGTCTTTCTTCTCTGGCTCCACCATGACAATTCTCCTCTGAGACAAATGGCAGCCTCCTATTTCTCCACAAGAATCTGGGGGAAGGTCACAAAATGACAGGGAGGGTGAGGGACATATCCTCCATTAACAATTCACACTATTACATCATCATCATCGCAGTTGTTATTGCGGAGAAGCTCTTCTTTAAAGCTCCACCCCTTCTACTATTGACTCTCAACCGTGGATGCCCCATTGTTGAGCAAAGGGCTCAGGGCCACACCGGCGGCTCATTCTCACTCAGTCCAGGCTGGAACTCAGGGCACAGGGCTCACAGGTCCTCGCTCTCCCAGCAACCTGAGGCAAGGTGTACTTGGATGGGCAGATGTGGGACCCTGTCCCCTATTGTCCCTCCCTTCCCTTCTCTTCCCTTTCTTCTTTCTCTTTTATGCTCCCTCCCTCCTTCCTTCCCTTCTCTCTTTTTGAAATATAATTTACAAGTAGTCAAATGCACACATGCTAAGTGTATAGCTAAGTGAACGATCACCTGTGTGTGTCATCACCACCAGAGTGCTGCTTCCTTTTCATGGGAGATCATGAGTGTAGTCGTGCAACTGGGACAAATACAGCCTGAATTTGTGCACAAAATGGTCTGACTTTGGGTGTCAGATGTTTATAGGGGTTTGTGGCTTTTGAATTCCTCAGTTCCTTCCACCCCAGCTCAGATTGCTGGGTCAGAAAGGCTCCAGCAAGGAAACTTCCCAACCCAGAGGCCCTGCAGGGTCCTCTCGACCTGCTGGGGAAGGAACTTGTCACCGACTGACCTCTGCAAAGCCCCAGATGGGAGAATCAGTGGGTCTATTCTAGACTCATCAGTCATGTGAATGTCTTGCCCAGGATGAGGAACTACGTTTTCTGGGAGCATCTCAGTGTCACCCTGCTTGTCGTGTGGGCTGAGCTGTGGGTGAGGCCCACACAGCTGCATTCCCTGGTCAAGTACTAGCACAGAGCCACAAAGCAGAATCAGGACTAGGCTATCAGCTGAGAATAGATCTGAGGTTTTTTGTTTTCATCCATGACCTTTGATAAGTTTTCTCTACTGCTTTTAGATGTTCCCACAATTAACAGGATCTTGGGTCCCCTCATAAGGCAACAGACCAATTCCTCCAGGGACTTTACTCTGAAAGATGCTCACGGTCAGCTCTGGAAAAGTTGAAATTGGTACAACCTTTCTGGAGAGCACCTTGGGATGTACTTGTGATACACTTTTATTCGGCATTCCACTTCAAGAAATCTGTTCTGCTGAAGTATGCAAATGTGCAAATACACCCTTCCCCCGCAGCACATATACACATTGCAGCAATGTTTATAATGAGTGTAATAGGTAAGAATTGTTTTTAAAGCTACGCCACCACCAACAGGGAGGTGTTTAGGTAAATTATGATATATGTGCACAGGAATAGAATGAGGTCGATCTACATGTGCTGATATTGAAAGATGGCCAAGCTACTACAAATAAAGCAACACAAACAAAACAAAAACCTACAGAAGAGTTTCATACCTTTTTGATAAATTAATAAGAATATGATATTAGCACATGTATTGGAAAAAGGGAGAGACTTGCAGGATTAACACTGGTTATCTCTGGGATATGGGAGAAATGCTAGGGGACTTTTATTTATAGCTTTTACATTTTGGGATTGTTGTAATTTCACAATGAGCTTGTATTACTTTTGAAATATGAAAAACTATGTTTTTTGTTCTTTTAAGAAAAAGGAAGAAGTCTTAATACTGGTGAGAGGACAGAATTTTTCCCATGACTGCTTCCAGAAACTCCAGGTTAGCCTATCTACAGGACAGGTCCAAAGGGGAGGGAAATAGTAAAACTGGGGTGGAGTGTGCAATGAAAGTCTCTGCTGGGCCCAGAGACTCTCCTTCACTCAGGGAGCTGGTGGGTGTAGGAAGCAGCCAGTGACTCCCATGATCCCGGCTTCCTGGTGTTCACACCCCTGTGCAATCCTCTCTCCCTGAATGTGTGCTGGACCTACTGGCTTGCTTCTAGTGAACAGAACACAGCAAATAAAATAAGCCAGTAATAACTAAAATAAAAAGGAGGAATAAAAAAATTTTAAAAAACTGAAAAAACATGAAAAGATAAAAAAAGAATACCACAAAAGTGATGGGATGTCCTGTCCAAGATTAGGTGACAGAGGCTGTGCTTCCGTCTTGCTAGCACTGTCTCATCCTCTCTCACTCACCCACTCTGACGAAGTCGGCTGCCATGTTGTGAGCTACATGACTGAGAGACCAGTGTGGCCAAAAGGACAGCCTCTGGGCAACAGCCCGTGAGAAACTGAGGCCCTTAATCCAACAACATGTGCAAAACCAATCCCCCCCTTAGTTGAACTTTGAGCTGAGTGCACCTCCAAGCCCTACGCCTTGAGAAAGACCCTGAGCCAGAGGACCCAGCTAAGTTGTGTCCAAATTCTCGACCCACAGCAACTGTGAGATGATAAATGTGTGCCGTTTTCAGCCTCTCAGTTTTGTGATAAGTTTTGAAGTGATAGAGTAGGGAAACGAACGTGACCTCCTACTCACTCAAATGGGGCGGAGTCTTTGGGGGAGGGGGCAGTACCTTGTTAATTTACTCTACCTGTGTGAGAAGGTCACCTTTTAAGACTTTCACTAGCGTTTCTGAATTTGGAAAACAAGGGTATTTCCAGGGAAGGTAGAGATGCCTTGGGGAATGATGCCCCGCCTCTTTGTACAAATGTTTCATACATCGGGGGTCTTCAAATGTGAATGTTGGAAAGCAGTATTTGTGGTAACCAGCCCCCAAGATGGCTTCCAATCATCCAAACCTCCTGGTATTCACGTCCTCGTGCAGCCTCACAATGAGTCAGAGCTGACCCGTGAGACCACCAGAGGGCATGACTGTATGTGACTTCCAATGTTAGGTCATAAAACTGCAGCTCTTGCCTTGCACACTTGGACAGTTTTGTCTGGTGGAAACCAGCTGCCATGTCATGAGGACACTCAAGAAGCCCTGCTCTGAGGCCCATATGGAGAAGAACTGAGGCTTCTTGCCAAGAGTCAACAAAAACTTGCCAGCCTTGTGAGGGAGCCACCTTGGAAGCAGATCTCCAGCCACAGACAATCCTTCAGATGACTGTAGCGCTGCTTATATTTGACTACAACTTCATAAAAGACTCAAAGCAAAATATACTCAATAGGGCTTCCCTGGTGGCGCAGTGGTTGAGAGTTCGCCTGCCGATGCAGGGGACAAGGGTTCGTGCCCCAGTCCGGGAAGAGCCCACATGCCGCGGAGCGTGGCCGCTGAGCCTGCACGTCCAGAGCCTGTGCTCCACAACAGGAGAGGCCACAACAGTGAGAGGCCCGCGTACCGCAAAAAATATATATATATACATATACTCAATAAGTCACCACCAAATTCCTCACCCACATGAATTGTGAAAGATAATAAATGATTATTATAGTTTTAAAAACAAACAACCCAATCAAAAATGGGCAGAAGACCTAAATAGACATTTCTCCAAAGAAGACATACAGATGGCCAATAGGCACATGAGTAGATGCTCAACATCGCTAATTATTAGAGAAATGCAAATCAAAACTACAATGAGGTACCACCTCACACCAGTCAGAATGGCCATCATTAAAAAGTCTACAAATAATAAATGCTTGAGGGTGTGTGGAGAAACGGGAACCTTCCTACACTGTTGGTGGGAATGTAAGGTGGTGCAGCCACTGTGGAAAACAGTGTGGAGGTTCCTCCGAAAACTAAAAATAGAACCACCATATGATCCTGCCTTTCCACTCTTGGGCATATATCTGGGTAAAACCATAATTCGAAAAGATACATGCACCCCAATGTTCATAGCAGCACTATTCACAATAGCCAAGACGTGGAGACAACCTAAATGTCTATCGACAGATGAATGGATAAAGAAGATGTGGTATACATACTCAATGGAATATTACTCAGCCATAAAAAAGAATTAAATAATGCCATTTGCAACAACATGGTTGGAGCTAGAGATTATCATACTAAGTGAAATAAGTCAGAAAGAGAAAGACAAATACCATAGATATCACTTATATGTAGAATCTAGAATATGATACAAATGAACTTATTTACAAAGCAGAAACAGACTCATAAACATAGAAAACAAACCTGTGGTTACCAAAGGGGAAAGGGGGTGGGGGAAGGATATATTAAGAGTTTGGGATTAACAGATACACACTACTGTATATAAAATTGATGAACAACCACGGCCTAGCACAGGAAATTATATTCAGTATACTGTAATAAACCATAATGGAGAATTTTTTAAATGATTATTGTTGGTTTTAGCTACTGTGTTTTAATTTGTTATGTGGCAATAAGTAACTACATTCTTGGTCATCTTTATTGTTTAACATTCATTTATTCAACCAACATTTTCTGCACATCTGCTATATATTTCTATATAGACAGGGGAGAAATATGGTGAGCAAAAACAGACGTAATGCCTGTTTTCATGGAGTGGACCATTTAGTAGTGACAAAGATAATCAGATAATCATATAAATTCATGTAAATTACAATAGTGTCAAGTGTTACACAAGAAAAGGGCTATAGCTACTCAGGGCTATGAAGGGGACCTAATTTAGATCAGATGGAGTTAGGAAAAGTTTTCCTGAGGAACTAAACTGAATGAGGAGTGAGTTAGGTGAATGGGAAGGGGAAGAGAAGAGCATTCCAGGCAGAGGACGCAGCATGTGCAAAGGCCCTGTGGCTGGGGCTCAGAGATTGAGGAGGAGCAATGAGGCTCAGAGACAGAGGCTAATCCACACAGAGCTTTATGGCCATGTTAAGGAGTTTGGATTTATACTAAGACCAATGGGAAGCCTTTGAAGCCTTTTAAGAAGTAGAGAAATATAATATGATTTTGATTTTAAAATCTTTTATTTAAATCTGACTGTGTAGAGAATGGATTGAAAGGCATCTGTGAGGAGATCAGTGAGAAGGTTGTTTCAGTAATCCAGGTACTGTTACCATCAAATAGCATGTTTACAATTCCCAAGCACAGTCAGGTTTCTTCTTAGTATTCTTTACAAAGAGTGGGTTATATAGACATAATTTTTGGCCTCTCGGAGCCTATCGTGTAAAAAATCAGCAATGGTAGGGTCAAATGGGATGACATGCAGACGTATAAGATAGCTGGAAAATTGAGAAGTAACTCCAGCAAAGACCGAGATCAATCAGTCAGTTAGTACAGAAAGAAAATATAACTAACATTTCTTGAAAATCCAATAGATATGTTAGACGTTTGACACTCCTTATTGATTTATGCCCCATAACAACTTTATGCTGCAGATGACATTGTATTTACAGATGAATACACAGGCTCAGAAAGGTTAAGCAAATTAACAGAGATCACATAGCTTGTGTGGTCTGTTTGTTCCAAAGTAAAAGCTTGTTTTATTCCACCATATCACCTGCATTTCTTATAATATTCCATTTGAAGTCCTTCATGTAGTGGAAAAGTTTTGTTTATAACCAAACTCTTAAATTCTAATTGATCACTGTAATGTATATATTTCTCTAGGCAATATAATTCTCCAAGCTAACTTCATTAAAATGGGGACTATACCAATATTCATGCATTCATCATTCAACAAAAGGTGCCTTGTCCTTCAATAACATATATGAGGGACCCCAATTACATGCAAGTTTTATAAAGTGACCAGAGGTAAATAATCCATGGACTCTGCCTTAGAAGAATCTATTTATGAAACACATATTTATTGTTTTCTGAAAGAAGAATCCCCTGTTTCTGAAACTTTTCTCCTTTATGTTCCATCCACGGAGTTACTGTGATAGTTTGCATGTTAGTAAAGTGAGATCCAGACGACTACTCACAGTTGATTGGTCCAGAGGTTGGTTCTAGGCTCAAGCTGGGCCAATCAGAAACCTTCTCTGGGACTTTGGAAGTTGAACTGAGAAAGAGAAGTCAATCTTGGTCTGGGTGCTTGAACTTCAAGATGGAAAACTTGGGGGGCTTCTGATGGACACATTTTGTCACTTGACTGGTAAAGGAGAGGAAGCTGGTTGGTAATAAAAATAAGAATGGAGCAGACCTGCAGAGAAATGTAGGTATCAGTTTTAGGTAGTAGGCACATAAGGTTAAGCAAAGCTTTAGTTAATATCATCTTCTACAGCATCGGGTAGCACCATTTATGCCGATTTCCTATGAGTGGCACGCCTTAGAACGCAACCCCAATGAATGGGGTCCCCGGGAGTTGTGATATTAGACAGTCCTATTTTTAGTTGGAGATGGGGCTGTAGATAAAGGCCAGGACCAAATAACTCAGGTATTGAATATAATTGAATGGCACGCATACTGTCACTTCACCCCTCTAAAACCCAATGCAGACATCACTAATGATCATGGTTCGCCTTCCTGCTGGCTCCCAACATGTCCTACTCAGCACAGCACTCCAGTCACCATTAAGCAGCATGTGCCTTGCCTATATACTTCCTGATCCAACAGCTGTAGCATGTCATTCATAAATGGCTTTGTCTCAGCAGCAGATGTTTTTCCCTCTAGCTAGAACAAACACTGGGGATTATATCCAAATTAAGGAAATCTTTTGCTTTTTGTCTGAGGACTAAGAAAATTGGAACCAATGTTCAATCACTTAGTGATACCATGATATCAGTTAATTAACTTGTTTTAATACCTGAAAAATAAGGATTGAATCTACATACACCAAGTAGCCCCTGGTTTGTATTGGGTTGGCCAAAAGGTTGATTGGGGTTTTTCTGTAACATCTTATGGAAAAATCCGAACGAACTTCCTGGCCAACCCAATGGATACTTGATTGAATGACAGTGAATTGTACCTTAACATGTGAAATACTTAGGGTAGGGTTAGCTGTCCATCTTAAGAAAACTACCCTCAAGTCCTGAAAAAGGCAAGCAAGCTAGTCAATTAGGAACTCTGTGGGACTTCTGCCTGAGGACAAACTAATCACTGGGATCCTTAAATTTGGAACTGTAATTATTGAGAAGGAAAAAAAAATCAATGTTTTCAAATAAAAAAATCTAAAATTGAAGATCATAAAAACAATAAAGGAAACTTTAGAAATTTTTTAATTTTAATTTTGGAGCTGGAAAAACCTTTCTAAGTATGACTTGAGCACTAAAAACTATGAATGAAAAGATTAATAAACTCAATTATAGAAAAAGGAAATAACTTTTTTCTTCATAATAAAAACCATCATAAAGTCAAAAGACAAACTGCAAGAAAATATTTGATATTGCTATGACAAATAAAAGGCTTATATCCCTATGATAAAAAGAGCTCCCACAAATCGAAAAGAAAAAAACCCCATCAAATTGGGCAAAGGAAATATAGAAATAGAAAAGAAAACTGGCTCTTAAAACATATGAAAAGATGCTCAACCTCATTTACATGAAAAGAAATGCAAATATATGATATCATTTTTTTTTAACCTATGAGATTTGCAAAGATATAAATGTCTGATTACAAACACATAGGGAAGATGGGCGGAGGGGAACAAACGTTCTCCTACATCACCAGAGGAAGTGTCATTGGTGTTCTAAGGAAGGCAATCTATCAAAATTATAAATATGTACGCTTTGAGCTAAAATTTCACTTTTAGACATTTATCTGTAAATAGGTTTGAACATATGTAAAATGGTTTATGCAATGTTGTTAAACG